AATCGACTTTCCGTTTCCGACCACCGATGCCTTAGAAACATTGCTGTACTGTGTCTGGTGGGAACATCGGGTGAGCAATGATGAAATTCGTTGTCGTACTGATAGTCGTTCTTTAACGGAAGAAATCGTTCTACATCGCCTTCAATAGCTCGGTCATGTTTTGCGTATGCCTGCCCATCGCCGTGCTCTCTGCACGTGATGGGCAAGGTTGGAAGAAGCTTCGCGGCGGTCATACCATGATATGGCGTAGAGGTATGAAGAAGTTAGCTTCAGCATTGGCTTCCGTTAGTGTAGCACGCCTTCCAGGCTGGGACCCAAGGGATGGGGACTGCGGATGGCTAGAGACGCTGGGAGATATGGCTTAGAATAGATGTCAGTGGCGCGAGTGCTGTGCGGTTTGTTTGGCGGAACCCCGTTCCCCATAACAAAAAAATTGTCATTCTCTCTGTACCCCTCCATAACTTCATTATCATTGTTTTGCGTCGGCACCATGCTTGTTCTCAAGCCGGTGTAATATATATATATATATATATATATATATATATATATATATATATATATANTATATGTGGGCCAGCTATTTAGCCAGTGCTCCGGACCGTTAATGTTCTTACCCCTATGGACTCAACAGCTTAATAGATTTGATTTCTATCACAGTAGGAACCAAATGAGAAAAGGTGTACTGTACTGTCAACGTGTACTTACCGAATACCCCAGATATGGCGATTCTCCGTCCGCCGAACTTCAGTCAAGAAAAGCAAGGTTATATTCTATCCCCATTGTAAGTCGAATAACTGAATGAGCGTTACTGAATGCTTGGAGTTGTTAGGTAATGTCTACTGTAGAATCACAAATGGCAAATTTGTCGTAGAGATATCTGGCGTCCTTCAATAGAGCACGTTCCAGTTTGACCAAAAATATACTTGTCAGGAGTAGCCCTAGCAGAGATCTTATAGCCGAACCATCATTCTATAGACCATAACTGAATAAAAACTTCCATAAAAAACTGCGTTCCGTGAGCTCCTTAATATTATTTCCCTTATCCGTACCACTGGAATTCCGACCTGCATACAGTTTTCAATTGTGTTGACAAATAAAATCTGTCGCTCCAACAGTGGCGGATTTATGAACAAAGATTAAACATCATACGAAAGTATGGTCATGAAAGTTCTGATCGAGAAATGCGAAAGAATCACACACTGTATCTTGCTGAGGATTTGTGAATGGGTTCTAGAATCTTTACACGCTGCGCTAAGGCATAGTTAGCTGAATTGCTCATATCAATCACTGGACTTAGCGAAGTATTTGGCTTGTATAGCTTCGGCAACCCATATAGGCTCATTGATTGGGACACATGGAACGAGTGTATCAAATAGCTTTGGAGATGACCTTCTCTGACTTAATTTGCTTCAGATTCTCCATCAGTTATGTTTCGGAATCCTGACTTTCTCGCTCCAGAGGTACTGCCATTGATTTACCGTTACAATCCGACCGGTTCAGTACCAACCGAACCGCACCTACCTCCGGCTTTGATAGAACATTTCGCTTTTGGTTGGTTCTCCTGTTTTATTTCAGTTTCAGAGATGTGTATAGTTTGAAGTCGTCATCTGCCCACTATTTGCCGAAAATAAAGGAAAATAGGAGACAGTAAGGAATACGAGAGTTGTGCAAACGGCGTAACCTGGTCCAAATGCTGCTGTAAGTGATTTTTCATATTCCCCTGTAAATGACTCCCCCATTTCACAACTCTAATTCACTGGCTTAGTGATCACACTTCTTTCATCAAAAAGAAATTTTCTTATGTTCTCACTCATCCTTATGCATCACCGCTGATACTTTACGATCTGTAACACAAGCATCTTGTGCACGGGATTAAGAGCTTTAACATCTGTATAAAACGTATTCTCACGCATTCTCTCAGTGGCCTACGAAATTGTCCTGTGATGAACAGGTTGCAATCATAGACAAGGATGTGTATGAGCATAAGACGAGCCAAAAGCTCAAAATTAGAGAAATCATGGTTTGTTCAGATGGATATAACCATAGTGGCTGACAAATGGTAAAACCTTTATCAATGTACCAGCGGCCCGGTTGGGCTCTGACCTATTCAAGGATGTTTCCTTCTGGGAGGTTGTGTAGAAATTCTTCATCACGGCTGGTTCCCAATACAGAATAAATTGACTTCAAGTAAACCATGAGGCTCCATGGGAGTCTGGTGCGTGGAGTCCAACAGGTTTTTTCGGGAGTGTACCTCCTGTAGTTGCACCATACAGTGAGGTCCTAGAGGCAGCAGTTTGTTAGTGCATAGTTGCCAGTAGCTCTCGATGAACCCATTTGTGGTTCAATAGACCTTATTGCAACCTAGAGATGCACTTATGATGGCCAGATATTTCTTCCGTAGCCAGTTTATCAGGCACATCCCGTCTATCCACTGAAAAGTATCTTTCCTCGAATGTGATCAAGCCTAGGGTTCAATGCCTCGGTAACCCTCGACCCGACTTAGGACTCAAGCGCAATATGACCCAGAGGACACGGTAATCTGCAGACCAAATGCACTACTCCTCGGCACTTTCACCTTTACATAAGAAAAGAATCGCCGAGACTAACATTTTGACAACGACAGGGATCAGTCCCCCGGGTAGTGGTGCTTCACAGATCATACACCTGTGATAAAGAGAATCTATCAGTTATATGCACCCATGAATAATCTAATGCTTCGAACGAACTTCGGACTCGAACACACTATCGAAGGTCTCTGATAAATACATCGAAAAACCATTCGATACAATTTTTTTATCTTGACCTGTCATCATATGTTGCCTGTTCGTATGGGTAGTGGCAAACCAACCAAATTCATGGGTTTTACCCGAAAGCCAAAGCACGACGAATTCAATTCGAGGGGCCCACAATCAAGGAGTTACCATTAAATCAACTTGTCGGACGTGATCGAAACTTGTGGGTAGCCTCTGCCTCCTTCCCCCTTTTCTAGAAAACTAGTCACCATCATTAGTCACTCAGTCAATAACATTAACGACAGCTTACTAAACGAAACTGATCGAGGCCATCTTAGCCGTAGAATCGGGGAGTCAGAAGTTGAGAGATTTCGGTATTATGCGGGAACAACAGCCACGTGTAAAACTGGCATATGACTTCATATCTGTTAATAATGAAGCGTAACGGACCGTTAATTTATCTTTGTTCAGCTGAGTTCACCGAATAAGGGTCTGACCAGCTGCCGGAGTGGACAGCATGCTCCTGAGGCCCCGGGTTCGATTCCTAGTTGGGTCGATGGATTCGAACCGCTGACGAAACCCATCCGGTTGGAAGGTGCCAAGGACTTCCTGGCTTTTAGTTCATGCTTCACTTGCTCTGTACACAACGGAATTCACCGAGTCTAATGACTTGGTCCTTAAATGCATTGGAACGGCAGCTTGTCTGGGTTTATCCAAAGGTGATGACTCAAACCCCTTGTGATCTTCTTTCCGAATGTTGCTTGAGCCTTGGTGTCTTTTCGCGTAGTGATTTGCAGAAGCTCGCACACTAAAAGGAAGTTGAACTCTTTTGTCTATGCCACCCTTATTAGCGAAACAAGCTAAACCAGGACAATTAAACAGTGCTCATTTATACTAGAGACTTGGACACGCATCAAACAGCAAATTCCCATTATTGGGGGTTAGCATACACCCAGGATCATTGGCTTGATCTGTCAGATAGTATACGCAAAACCTCCCAATGCAGTGATTCAGCTGGTTTCGCATACCGCTGGTTGTTAGACAAACACCACCCATTAAGGAACCCGTTTTGAAAGTGAACTAGTAGTAAGTTAGGGCTACAAACAAAAAGTACTGACAGAATAGCCTACCAAACAGACTACATTTTAAACCTAATTACGAACATTAGGTCCCACACAAGAAACATCTCCAGCGTCACCCCACCCACCAAAACATATATGTACATATACATAACACGGGTGGCGTTTCACTAATGAAACCAACCCGATCATTGAATTGGGAGCTTTTGCGTAAACGAACTGACAGACCAAGCCAGTGATCCTGGGTGTATGCCAACCCCCAATTTGAGTACGCACTTGCAAACAAGCGTGGCGCTAAACAAGAACAGAACCGTACGCGACCGCATGGCTGTTAGCCACTGTCCCCAGGCAAAGACCGATGCATCGTGCAAGCTTGGTCGTGTTAAATGTTTACCTCAGCTCTGTATCCCGATATCACCCGATGATCCCTCCGGACCACTGGAGTTAACTACCAAACGGTGGAGTTGGTTAGGTGGTCGTCTCTATTATCACCTACGAAATCCGCCAGCATTGAATTCGAACCCTCAAAATGAAGACAGCTTTGTTCAACCTTTCGTGAGTTATTGTCATCCTGCACCTCGGATTATTCACTGATGATGCCAACAACCAATGCAACCAAACGGCCAGCACCTAAAGTAACCAAAACTAATGGCTGCCAAGGGGTGTAGGGAACGCCCTAGCATCGGTATGCTTCAAGACCGAAAAGTGGTATCCGACATCTTCCTTTCAACGTTTTACCATCACCTTCAGGCTTGCATAGCATATTTCATTACTCGATTATGTACGTACATAACGGGAACTCCTGTGCATCTGCATGCTGCAATCCAAATCAGCTAACAGCAGATCAATCAAGCAAACCTTACATTGCTTGAACGTAGAATGAGTGAGCTGGATCTCACGCGAGTATTCTTTTACATTCCCTTTTGCAGTATGCTTGGACTGCGGGGATTTTATCTCTTACTACAATTCAGTGTAAGAAAGAAATCACTGAATATCCGTACGGAACTACCATAATCCCAAGCTCGATCGGTCATCAGAGTAACGCGATTGCTCGGGAGGAAAATGTCGTATATCAATGTATATCAATGTCGTATATCAAATCCCGAAAAGTTATGCTGAAAATCGCCATCACAGTTCTGCAGTTAGACAGAAAAAACCGTTTGGTAAACTTAATTATCTCTTACATTTATTGTTGTAATGCATAAAACAGATCAATTGGGAAAAATCAGTGGATCACTAACAAAGCAGTGCAATGGACCACAGATTAACGGAGCAACCGAGACAGACCAACATCAATCACCTCGTATTTCCCTTTTCAGGAACAAGAGAATCCTCAAGCAACCGCAGCGAAAATGATAGGGACCCTTCAGCAAGGTTCAGTTGAAAGATGGTGGTTGGGCATGTCTGAAAAGAGAGATAAGTAACTAAATTAAGTTCAGGGAGCCACTAAGCTGCATGTGAAAAAAGTGAAAGCCTAGACGCAACTTACTTTGGGGCTATGCCGGATTGGGAACTGACGGCGGAAGAGAAGTTCAGATGGCCCAGGGAATTGTGAGAAACATTTGAAACGATAGGCGAGATCAGTTGACTCTGAAAACCATTCAGCGCTTGTTGATATTGCTGTTGAAGCATGGTGAAGTGGTGCATTAACGCCAAAGCGGCTGATTGGGAGTGGTGAAGATCACCTGCATTCAGAGATGCATTTTGAGCTGAATAGTTGAAACCTGGTGGGGTGGGTAAGAGGCCCACGCTGGCGTTACCTACTTGAGAAGGGAAAAGAGGCAGAGGCTGTGAAGTGCGAGAAGTGGGTGACAGGATAGACGGACTGCTGGAAGAAGCCGTCAGTATGCGCTGCGGTTGTTGGTGTGGCTGTAGCATTTGACGAGCCCCATTAGTCTGCTGCTGTTGCTGCTGGAGCTTCTGAGGAACATTTACGACTGCTAGACCTTGGCGAACGCTGCGAGCAGATGGCACTGTAGCTCCAGGTATGTTCGCATTTGGTATGCGAAAGTCTGAAAGCATCCCATTGGTGGCGACCGGTGCGGCCTGGANACGTAGTCACACTGGCAGACGAAAGCCGTTGAGCGGTGTTCTCATTCGAGCCGTTGCCATTATTCATGTGTTTACTTGTCCTGATGAAACGACATAGAAACCGCGGGAATGGCAGACGAGCAGTTAATGGGTAGGAAGTGTAAAAGCTCGGGAAGCAGGTTACACGAGTCGTGATGGGGTGAGTCAAACATGAACACGGTCGAAATCTGTACTCTGAACACTGTCAGAATTTATAAATGGATTAAAACTTCATTTACATATTCGTCTTTACAACAAACGAACCACTGCGAGGGGCAGCAGTGCCTCAGCTGATGAGAAACACACAAACCAACATTCATTAGTGCTCATAGAGGTAAGCAACGCCAAGGTATTCAGGGAGTTATAAACCAACTCCGTCTGCGACACTTCTAAAGCATAAAAATGGGATAGTATGCTACGCAGAACTGAGCCCGTGACCAAACACCAACAGGGTCACCCGTTGTATTCGACCAATAGTTGATAAAAGAAATTCAAAATCCCCCTTAAATATATCGTGGGAAACATACCCCTTGATTGCTTGAGCATCCGGCTCGGGCTTCGGACTTTCAGATCCCATTATTCGCCGTCTAGCAGCGGCATAGTCCGCCTCTCTTTGCTCCAAGGTCTTGACTGCAATAGGTGGTCTGCCAAATCATGAGAACCATTACGGAACTTACCTAGTAGGCTCTGTTGATTGGTTAGACTGAATCGGACATGGTCGCTGCAGTATACGAATAGGAGGGTTTTCCATATCAAATTAGACTTGCGGATAAAGGATAATAAATTAGGGCTGATAATACCTTCTACTAGTTGAGCCAAGGACGTCCATTCGTTCTCCTGTGCGATGAGCATGTCGGTTTCTGACGCATCTGACACGGCATATGCTAGCACATAAGGTTTAGTCATCAGAATAGCAGACAACCAACCATCACGACTCGGAAGCCAGCATTCGTGGGCTGCTCCCAGTGTGCACCCGCACGGATTTAAACAACAAGCTTAAACGTAATTGCGGTAATGAATATTTGTTAACGCTATCGGCGTATGTAAAACACCCTGATGAATCGTAAGATTAGACAAAAACATTGCGATCGGCACCTCGATGATGACATTTCATTTGATACCCGCATCCGAATATTGACTTCGTAACGCTTGGTACACTGAGCACGTCAGTCAGTCAGTCAGTCAGTCAGTCAGTCAGTCAGTCAGTCAGTCAGTCAGTCAGT